GAATATTCATATATTGAGTTTAATCTGATTGACGTTTAAATTGTTTTCAAAATTATCTGCATTTGTACGATTTTTTATCACTGTGGTCCAGTTTGTGGGAATTCAGTTCAAATTTGGCTTAACATTTGCTTTCACAAGCTTCACATTTGAATAGTTTTTCGACTCTTTACCTGCGTTTGTGGGCGTCCAAATGACATTGATGTCTAAAGGTTTTTTTGCGTATATCACAAGGGAGGAGTTTATCTTAATTTGAGGCTTCCCTACTCATTTTTTGCGATGTTCTCTAAAATTTGATTTGTATGGCAACATTTAATTAAAAGATTATTGCTCATATTGGAATTGGACTTGTACAAAATAGCTGAAATTACGACGAAAAAGTGGATAACAGGTTCATTTAACATTTTATTCACAGTTTGTATCTGTTTAGTTACGTCAGTATATATGTAAGGTGGAACATGCAAATCATAGGAACATCGTGTTTTACGGATTGGAATGGAGTTGGACCAAATAGGAGTACCCTCTCCCGACCTGCAAGTCCTGGCCACCGAACAAAAGTTGGATACTGATTTTGCCGAGTGTTAACCTCTACCAGACTCTGATACACGGATTCATTGCGACGTTTCAACAGGCACGTCGAGACCATTTGTCCCGCAAGCATATTACCGGAATATTTTTGACCATTTCCACGGTCTGTCGCATCCGAGCATTTGTTTTACAACGAAGTTGATCCCCAACTGTTTTGTTTGGAAGAACATTGGACAGGAAGTTCGTCATTTGGCCAAACATTACCTCACTTGTCAGGCCAGCAAGAGAAAAAACATTTCCGAAGCTCGCTCTCTGCTTTCTACCTTCCCAAAGCCCGTTTCCGCCACATACATGTTGATAATTTTTCAATTAAGGGCGTGTATAATATTTATCTTCAACTCCTTGTTAAATTTGAAACAGCTCAATTTTTAAAATAGGAACATGTATTGATATACTCATGAAAAATATGAGCTTCGTTTATATAAATTTGAATATTTTTTATAATTAGACAAACTATTCATTCTGGCAGTACATTTGTTTCAAGTATCAATTAAAATATCTCATTTGAAATGCTGATAGATTAATTTAGATTTGAGATTCTTTTATGCATCGATGGGTTTTATACTCAAAGTAAGTCAAATTTAGTCTAAAACATAATAGCAATAATTATTATTTAAATTTAATTTAATGAACTAAATGATCTTTTTTCTTACTATTGAATCTATTTAGAATTTTAATTGGATTCTCTAAGGATCATTTCATATAAATTGGGTTATTTGAAATAATTTGGTTTGAGCGTTTAATGCAATAATCAAAATTAATTAATATATCCATTGAAAAATTCAAAGATTTATTAACGGACCATGAAGATAGGTTAAAAATCCATTCATAAATATTTTTCATTTCTATTTTTTACGTGAGTTTTAAATTTTAATTTTCATTAATTTAAAGAACGTCCTGAGAATGACTTACCATATTCCGGTGCTGTTTACAGCATTCAGTCTTAACGTTTTTCCAAAATTTTCTCATTTTATTAAATTTGAAAAGTCTCTTCTACAAAAGCGTTTACAAAAAGAAATAGCAATGATTTACTATCAGCCATCTAACATATTAAAATAATGCTCCGTAGTGGTGCACAATACCTCAGTGACAAACCACTTCAATAGGATTTCTTTAGAGATAGATATGTTTTTCACTGTTTTTGAATTGCCATATCTTAGCACAACATCATTTGGCACTGAAAAATAAACAATCAAGTGAGTAAAATTGACTCATTTTCCATAACATTCTTTTATTCATATCTTTTTAAAAAGTGTGATGGGTGACGTCTGTGATTCGTTAGAGTATTGCAAAGCATCTAAAATATTAATTACCATTAACCTGATCAGACTATAGCAATTATAGCTTATTCATCCATGAAGAGTTTACACGAATTGGGCGGAAAGCTAATTAGGCTAACAAAAGAATCCTTCTCACTAGCCAAATCTGCAAAAATGTTATCAACCATTTGTTTATAGTTTTTAAACATGGCAAATGATTCCATTTATATTATCGATGCTTCAAATAATAACAAAGTTAACAAAAATTCAAATTTATATATTGAAGTGTGCATCTGTAGTTATGCGTATGAGATGTCAGAGAAAGTCTTAAATTAGAAATATATTTTCAGTCTTCCATAAGTCAGGATCGCTTTATTTTAAACAAAACAATTCTGCCCGAAATTGCAAACTTTCTCACAAAGCATGATCTCATAGATTGGGTCTTTCAATAATGGCTCTAAATAACATCTAAAAAACATAAATATTAGATTATTCAACAGCTTGTAAATTTCTTAAACTTGACTTCGACGCTAAGGATACAATTAATTGTGATGAGGATAAAATGGTCTATAAAACTCGAATCAGTGGCTTACAACTAAAAAGCAAAACCTTGTATTCTTGCAAAATATGAAAGATAATTTAGCATTTAAGGCTCAGAAATGTAACCCTGTCCCTGGCATACTAGATTAGACCATTCTGCTAAAAAAAACTTGTTCGCTGACCATGGTCAGTGCTCCGGACTTATTTGCAACCAGACACGTTTATCTGTTTGGAGAAAGCAATTTTTGTCAGCTGTCTTTCACTAATTTACAGCCATAGTCGGCAAATTTGGCTAGCAACGACGATGAACGTGTGTAATACTTAACTGATTAATTCAATACTATTTATTTTTTCTCCTAACTGCTGAAAACATTAATAATTAAATAGGGTATTACATTTTTTATTAATAGCGTAAAATAAATGTTTTAAAATGAACCTTAAACAAAATCTTTTTCTCGTAAGATGCCGTGCCTTAAAAACGCTTCCAAATGTAACAAGACGCATCAACATCAAATGAGGAAATGGAACACGCGGAACGATTTATGCTTGCAAGAGCGAATGTATTAAATTAAAATGTTGGATCTTAACTAGCATGTCGTGTGCTAGTTATCTGGCGACCAAAGTGGATTGAATATGGTCTTTAATAATCGTCAGGAGATTTCCACAAATAACGCCATAGCTTCACCTAGATCCTGAGTCTATATCGAAGTATCCTATCAAGAGTCAGGGAAAATTTAATCATGTAATTTCAAGTAGAACTTGATTTAAAAGTAAATGTAGACAAGATCTGCCATATAAAGCGTAATTTCAAATGCAACAAAATTAGGAATAACAAATAATGTTTTGGTAAATGCATCTCAGAACTTGAATCACATGAATCAAAATCTGATTGAAGGCTGTTCATACAATTTGCAAATAACTTCATATTTTACAACATTTGGCCCATCTGATATTGGATTTTCTTTAAAACAAAAATAAATGACAGAGGAGAATAACTCAAATGACGGATGGAGGGCGAAACCGGAAACCTCTGCTTACAATACAACAACATCCATTTATCCACTTAAGGACTCCATTTTAAATTTTATAAGAGGCAAGCCATAATTCAATTCTCTATTCATTAATCAAAACCGAATTCTCATTTCTTAAGCAAAATTATAGAATACTACGATCTCTACCCCTCGCAATTAGAAGACTTGCGCCAGCAACTGGAAGAGATGTCGACCAGTGGGTTTTCGTGCTTGTTCGATAATATTCCATCAAAGATAAACTGTTTGCATTAGCGCCTTTTTGTTGGCGTAATCTTATGAATACATTATTGTAACTATTTAGATGATATGAATGAGGTATTAAAGAGTGATTTATTGGCTTTGCCTGTAATGCCACAACAGAGCTCCGCGACACCAAATGACAACACCTCTAACATCCCTCGAAGTGATTTTCAAGTTTTCCCTCAAAATATGAACACGAATTCACCCAATTTTCGGTATGTTACTTTATTTTGAAAAAAAGGAATATATTAAATTCGATTAAATGAGGAAAGTTCAAAAAGAATGAGAAAAGGCGAATTTTGATTGTCTTTGGCTTTATTTTAACAAAATTTTGTGATGACGGTTTGTTAACCAGTATTAAGCCAAGTTCGGTTAATTGCATTAATTCACGGATTAAAAGCTATTTGCTCCCATACGATTTCGGTTCCATTTGATAGAGATCGCGGTGTTGTCTCTAACTGGTGGACACAGTCAAATGCTTTCGTGGAGGAAAATAGGTGTCACCAACGAGCTGACGTTTATTCAGTGACCAACATTTCAACCAATTATTTTTATTGTCCCAGCTGCAATCTTATATCCGAAGACATAAATGAGATTCGAATCCACTATCAGACATTTCATGAGGTGAATGCAAATTCGAAAACTTCACTAGGTATGCTAGTTTGCAAGCATTTCACTTGCAACACTTGAGTAAAATGAAACTTTTGATAAAACCTTTAGAGTCAGTTTCATCCTCAATTCCCATAGTTAAAAATTAATTACTTATCGAATTTCGGAAAACGTTTAGTTCAGAAATGTAGTTGAGGTCTAAATATGTAAATGCATATACTTAACTATTCTTACTCAAACGCAAACGGCAGTCAGAATGGATATGATTATTATGCACTCTAATTTTCTTGACAATAATTTTCTTGATTCCAATGAGATAAAAGCTGAACACAAACTTTAATGAGATTTTAATAGTAGTGCTTTGAGTAGTCAAGGGCCATATTTGAACTGGTCATTGTGCTTTGTTTCCTATATATAATTGTTCTGAAATGTATACAGTAAAAGGCATTCACTTTCATGAACTTTGGAGAGTTTGCTGAGCTAGACCACGATTAATATTCAAATTATATTTATTAAATCTCATTATAATTCGACTTCTATCTCATTGACATACGTATATCTTGGATGATGTTGTTCCGCTTCAAAGTGATGAGGTGTTGATTATTGGGGTTATAAATTGGAATTGGTATTTGAAAGACATCTGATGCCAATCCGTACAGCATGATGTTCCTTTGATTTACATGTTCCATATTACATATATACTGCTTTAACTAAACAGATACAACTTATAGATAAGATGTTGAATGAACCGGTTATCCACTTTTTCGTCATAATTTTAGCTCCTTTGAACAATTCCAATACCAATATGGGCACTAATCTTCCAACTAATCGTTACCTTTCAAATGAAGTTATAGAGAACATCACAGAATTGGGTAAAGAAGCCTCAAATGAAGATAAACTTCTCTTTTGTGATGTTTGCAAAAAAACCTTTAGATGGATGAGCCATTTGGACGCTCACAAACGCAGACATAGTTGCATAAAATCATTTGAATGTGAAGCTTGTGGAAAGCAATTTATCTCAAAATATGAACTGACTGTACATATGCGTTCCCATACGGGAGAAAAACCATACAAATGTAGTGAATGTAAAAAAGGATTTGCAGATAAATCAAATTTGAATAGACACGTCCGTGTTCATACAGGTGAAAGACCATACA